AAGTCGCAAGTGATCCCCAGCATTTGTGCTGAGACGTGTCACAAATTCGCGTTTGAGAAGTCGCAAGTGACCCCCGACAGAAGTCACAAGCGACCCTCCTCTCCAGAAGTCACAACTGACCCTTGAAAGAAGTCGCAAGTGACACTCCTTTCTCAGGGATGTCCTAGATTTCCAAGAAACGTATTGACTTCGTAAGACTTGGTTTAGAACCCATCGAAAAATCTACTTCATGATATTTTGTTGAAAAGGCATAGAAGCAAACAAACGAGTCTAAATGAAATCCAACTAGAACCAAGAACTTCCTGAATCCCTGGCGCATATTGATTCATGATTCAGCTGAGATTGTATACAATACTTTTCAACATGTAAGTTGATCAGAATACTGGGCTTTCCTGATTAGAAGTGCTTGCTGTAATAGACGGTAAATGGGGCCCGATGGAAGTTCTTCAATCCACATCCCGATAGACGTGAGCTTTTAGGCTGGTGATTGCTGATTATTACACGGGACGCCTCATTACAGTTCTGCACTGGAACCTCTGCCACGGTTGTATGTGTTCGCCAAAATTCGAACACTACTTGTAGCTTTTTCGTTCGCAGAATGCGATGCCAGACTTGTGCACTTCATGAAAGACTGAAACCGGCGAAGCCTCATGTGCAGGTCATACAGCTACAGACCAGGGCAGCAGGGGCGAAGACTTTGAGGAGAGCCCTTGCTGATGCTGCCTCATGCAGCTTCTTGCATCCCAGAGACTGTTTGCAGGAGTCACATCATGCAGAGAAGTCTGAAAGCCTCCTCAAGGAAAGCTTCCTCAAGGAGAGTCTCCAAGAGATCTCTGACCCACTCCAGGCCAGTGCAAGAGTCATGAATTGTGTAGAGGTGTTGGAGGTCGCAGTGCTGTGCAGTGCTGATTCTTGTGTCTTGACTTTGCCACGCAGTGGTGCCTTGATGCTACTCCGGTCAGGTCAGCGCTGACCAATTTGCAGTCGACGAGCTAATGGAGCGCATCAATGAGCTGGAGATGAAGGCTATGCGAGAAGTGGGCATGTAGGGAAACAGAGGGATAATTCAGCAAAATGGTTGCATTCGAAAGTTTGTAGACGTAGGGGTTACCATGATCGCTGTCTCTGTCACTGCCGGCAGATGCAAGAAGCCCAAGACCGCTGCTGGGCTTCACTGCTTGTCCTCTCGTTCTTTGGAATCTCGGGCCCCTGCTGCTTGGTTAAATGCATGTAGCATGGCTGAGACGAGGCCAGGGTGCTGCAGAAGACGAACTGTTTCAGAGGATTCGTGAGTTGGAGCAACAGGCCCTCGAGCTTTTCACAGCGCCAACAGTTGTTAGCAGCACTCGTTTTCCGGCCTGCTAGGTGGGCGAAACGACACCAGCTCCAGCTGCGACGGTCCTCACTGAGGCGGACAAGGGGGCAATAGAGGACGAGCCCGAGCCCACGGAAGAGTCTGAAGAGGAAATCCTCGTGGATGAGCAAGCAGCTCTCTACAAAACATAAGCTTGATGAGTGCTTTGTTCGCTTCGGTGCGCTTCGGTTCGGTTTTCCAAGGATGCCCTCAGCTCCATCTCCGCAGCATCCTTGCCCAGGGGCCAAGCCCCGTCTGAGGACAGAAGACAGGCAAAACAGGCTTCAGATGCTTTAGCCCCGTGGCTGCGCATGCAGTTGCGCGAGGACATGGAGGATGTGGCTGAGGAGCAGCCGTCTTCGGCTGCTTCAGTACAGGAGGACGTAGTCGCATGCGTGAACGTGCGCACATTTGCCGGGCCAGCCACCTTTGCAGATCCTGCCGTATCTTGCAGCTTCAGGAGCTCGCCGCAGAGCAAAGCCTTGAGTCGGGCGAGCGCACCAGCGGAAGTGCTGATCGGACTGACAGCGCCCACACCGTGGAGCCAGCAACTGAGCTTGGCGCTGGTATTGCGCAGCCTGCCAGTGAGCTTGCCCTTGAAGCCAGCACGGAACGTGTCGCAGAGTCTGCCAGTGAGCTGGCAGACAGTGAGCCTGCCAACACTGAGCTGGCGGCAAGTGAGCCAGAACCGCTGGAGAGTGAGATGGCCGCAAGTGAGCCTGCTGCCAGTGAGCCGGCAGTAGCAGAGAGCGAGATGGCTGCCAGTGCAGCTACCAGTGAGCCAGGGCTCGCCGAGAGTGAGCTGACTGCAAGTGAGCCCGCGGCAGAGCACGCGACGGCTGCAAGCGAGCACGCTGCCAGCGAGGCAGCAGCTACCAGTGAGCCAGCGCTCGCCGAGAGCGAGCTGACTACAAGTGAGCCCGTTGCCGAGCATGCGACTGCTGCAAGCGAGCC